GGTTAACGGCTGAGTTCCAAGATAGTTGCATAAAGTTATCTCAACACGTTGCCAGCAAAATCCTCATCCCAACAAGATCAAATTCCATACTGTTTTCAAATAAGCTTAGTGGCAAGAGCTATGGAAAGAATTGCTACCAAAAAGAATCTTTTGGGACCTCATATAACAATTACACTCTAATAAAAATGTAAGCCAACTACATTAGCACATCTGAAGTACGCTATATCATCAGGATCATATCTGCTGAGTGTTCACTAGTTGCTTCCTCATTTGTTTGCAAAGTGTTTTTCTGTTTTTCTGGTGGTTTTTTTTTTTTTTTTTTTTTTGGGTAAGTGAATGTAGTGCTTGTGAAATGTGCCAGACTGACACTCTGGGAACTAAATTCCTCTGTTTATTCACGGATCATGCACAGGATGCAGTAAGCCTGCTAGACAGCCAACGTTTTGATGTTGCCATAGCATTCCCACAGAACATCGTTGCTGCTAGAAGTATGTCCAGGATTACTCAAATTAGATGGCACCAAATTACCTTCAGGTTTAACTGTCTCGAAGCTCCACAATATTTGCACAACCAGTTTCAAGTGGCATAGAGACTGGTAAAATAGCAAACTCTAGAGCGAGCTACTCATACTTTCAGTGTAATCTGAACCACTTTGTTAGTGGTCTCAGTCAAATGAGGTCTGTTTTAACAACAGTGAAAACATGGTTTGTGAGACTCAAGAACACAGATTTTGCCTGCTTGAGGGGAAAAAAATATGTGTCCTAAAGCCAGAGATTTCTAGAATGGTGCAGTGCCATGAAGATACAGTTGAGTCAGTTGCAAAAGAGCTGTCTCAGGAACTAAAAGCAGAAGACTATCATCTCTGCAATGTCACATAAGAACATGAGCTTCTCTTGAGTGAAATCCAATGTCATCATAAAGTGCTGTGTGTCACTGGGAGTGCTCAATTGCTATAATGCTAAAAATCCAAAATAATCCTTACCACATCTATTTAAGAAAAAAATATATATGAAGCATGTAGAAAGAGGACAGTGATTTTACTTCTGCACACAGAAATAGTAAAAGCTCATTTAATTTTCACATTTCAAGGACATGGAATTTGTGGATATCTGAGAAGCCCTGTTTTTCACTTCACCAGAGACATGGCTGAGAGGTGGCTTGAGTCCTTGCAGTGGGTGCATAGGTATAGAATAAATACCTGACAGCTTTTTAACCCTGCCAAGAAAGACAAAGCAAACTCCTATAATTGTAAATTGAAGTCAGAGAGATTAACCTTCCAACATGAAAACAGATCCTCTCTCTGTGAGAGTAATTCCATATTGGAACACGCAGATCTGGTATATGAAGATAATTAAAAGATGCCTCTGAAATGATACCTGGCAAGCAGGCTGGGTAGGCTCCTAAGCAAAGTGGGGCAGTCATGGAGAAGTCATGCTTAGATTCTCTCTCACGTCCATAGCGACAGCACTTATTTTGATTAGTATGAGTGACCCACTGCTCACAACTTCTAAAATGGATATTTCATGCCAGTACTCCACCAAGGCTAATGTTTAATTCAAAAGCCTAGGTCCTTTTACCTAGTCTCAAAAAGGCACACAAAATCTCTGGTCCAGTTCAAGTCTGAGATCCTCAGAAGCATCTGCTAAGGGCCACCATGGTGTGATCCCATTGTCCTCGGTGAGGGAGTGAAACCATTTCAATCCTATATTTTTTTCTTTTCCAAAAAGGATTACTTTTTTTCTTCAGCTCCCATGAAAAGAAAAAAATAATCTTAAAAAAGGACAAAAAAGGTGAATACTGTTTTGAAGGATAGTTACTTACTTACTGCAATGAATGTAGTTTTCTAGGAATTTGATAAGATGGTGCTATTTAAACAATGAACTTGAAAAGGAAATAAACAACATGCTGACAAAAGGCCCTAAGTTTCTTCAAAGAAGTGTTACCTTTTTCATTAATTAAATAGTTCAGTTGCAGACTGCGGCGAAAGTAAGCACATACAGAAAAAGTGCTGAAATTTGTGTGTGAATACACTATTATTTTCACATAATAAAGCAGTTGCATCCTTGTTCCAGTTCAAAATTGATTGAAACCCTAAATGGGGAACGTCCAGCTACATTTCTGCAATGGTGTTTTATAAATACTTAACATTTATAGTTCACGTTTTTGAACAATGATCAATTCCTTTAGTACACAGTGAGAAGTGGTATAGGATAGAAACAAAGGACTTCATTATTTGACATCAGGCTTGCTCCTGCCTCTTCCAACTGCACGGTTGCGTTAGTCCTAAATATAAGCATACATGTCAGATATTTAAATCCTGACCCTAAATAAGCTATGCAAGCTTTGGCTCTTGTACAGTTCTGGCCTTAGACTGTCCTTGCTCATTATATGACATGGTTTGTGCCCCAGCTGCCTCCATGGAGAGAGAAAATCAGATTCCAGTGAAGTTATCATGAAATCTGTCACAGATGAGATAAAAATACATGATTTTAAGAGAGTGAAGGCTGAGGACACAGACCAATCTGCAACGGTTGAAGAAGTCAGTGCAAAATGTGAAATGTATTGCACAATATCAGGCCAGGCAAGACAGATCAGTCATTATGAACAATTTTTTGAAGGTAATTTTATCCCTTTTAAAAACAAAACCACCGTGTTTCAGCAATCCACTGTGGTAACACTGACAACGCAGTGAGCATTGGCAGGAAGAAAACAGACCTGTGGCTCTGTAGTTCTTAGTGTCTGTACTGTACCCATCAGCTCTTGTTAGCACCTCTCCCTTTGGAAATAGACCCAAGCCAAGAATTCCTTTCACACAGGCAATCGAGGAGAGCCAAAAAGTAGTAGTGACAATCACTTATTTAGACAAATGCTGTTTAGATCAAAGCCAATCAGCTTAAAGTGAAAGAATAGAAAATAAAGAAACTAAAAAAAAAAAAGGCCATGACACTTTTTGAGGGATGTTAAACATGGTCACCTCTTCCCAGACAGAATGCGAGACACATTAAGGTGATAAAGAGGCTTATGTCCTTTCCAAAGGACATAGAGCAACAAACATAGGCTTCCCCTCTATCTTTGCATTGCTTGGACTCTCAAAACAAGCTCAAGTAACATCACTGGTAAAATTTGCTGTAAAGCAGATCCATTTCATCTATTGTTTATCTGAAACCAGTAACAAGATTTGTTCCAGATTGTCCACATCTGTGGAATTCCTTATTTAGTCCATACTGATCTGCATATGTTCAAGACGTATGATGTATCTAAGGCTTTTTTAACAAAACTGAAGGAAAAAAACCCCAAATACTGTTAAGAATTACAATATAGCTAAGGGTCAAATCCTGCATTCTTTTCTCAGGGAAAACTTCCGCTGAAGGCAATCTCAGTTCTTTATAAGGAAAGTAAGACTATGCTCAAGAAAGTTAATTTTAAATATTTGCACAGAACTTTTCCCTTAACTACATTGTACAGCTCTGCTGAAGTTAATGAGACATCCCAGAATCACTGTAGAAAGACACGTCACTTGATAGCAGAAAAAGCTATAAAAATCTTGTATCGTTTAATTTTGATCATACCGCAGAACATTATCTCTGAAGTGAAAGAACCTTCATGTTTCTATTGATATATTACAGCCTTCTCTTTGTCTCAAAGAGATTAATCTAAAAAAATGTGAAATCTAAAAATTCCACTGATACGGTATCCTGAGACAAGAGAGTAGTGTTCATCTCACTTAAATAATCTAAAAGCAATATAGATAGTTTAAATCAGTCAGTTATGCTCCATCTGTGGTCATGAGTGTAATACTTTTACGGGACAATTCCTCTGACCTATTTGAGTGTGAATGAGTCATGATGCCATCTTTCTGACTGGCCAGAGAAGGAAAATAGACAAGTAATCTAAGGTAAATGTCCAGATCTGTACATTATCAAGCTCTAGTTGGGTCAGCCAGTTCTACGTACAATCACACTGCCTAAGAATAAAGCTTTTCTGGGATTTTTTTTCTCCTTAGTTTCTTAGTTCATAAGGCACCGTAGCAATCTTATGACTTGATCTTCTGCACAGCAAAGATCAGCTTATTCTGATATGAACTGTATGGTCTCTTCTAGATAGTCATCAGTCCTTATTTAAAATTTTCCAGTGAAACACTGGGTATGTTCTTTCCAGACATAAATTGCCGTCATCTTAAAAAACTGAGCTTTATTTCACATCTGAATTCAAATAGCTTTTCAGATTTCAGTTATTTGATCTAGTTACACTTTCATCTGTTGGGCTGAAGAACACGTTCTGATTCCAGTGGAGATGGCCAGGCAGGGAAGAAGTCATCTTTTGGCATATTTTTGATAACCTAGGTTGATTAAGCTCTTTGTATCTTTCATCAGAAGTCGTGTTTTATATCTTTTAATCATTTTCTTGTCTGTGAATCTCATCCAACCTTTCAACTTCCCTCCCCCTTTCAGGATCTCAACAGCTGATTTTGGTATACACAGGTAATACAGTGCCACTAGTCAGCTTATTTTTATTCTGTTCCTACACCCTGAGGCCATACGGACCTTCTTGCCTGAAACATCATAGAGGAGAAACTCAAATTTGGAGACTCTATAAGCCTTTCTCAGACCCGTGAAGTTTTATTCCTTAAATGCAGCCCACTTTATTTGTTTCAAGATGTATGATCTAATAGAACTCTGAAAGCTTCTTTTATTGTGATTTATTTCCACTATTAAAGCCCTAAATCTGCACTAAAGAGTCCTTGAGAGGATCTGGGAGCTGTTGAGTCAGGAGGTGCATCAGGCACCAGGAGTCGGAGCACTGACATCATGAAAACATGCCATAGTTCAGCAATTAAAACCATAGATAAAATAGTAAGCAGTGACCTGCTTGATCTGGAACATAACTGATTTCACCAAATAAGTAATTTCATTCATTTTAGAAATTATTTCTGTTATTTACCACTCTGACAGAATCTCCCAGAAGACGTTTCTCTCTCATCCCAGCCAGGATTAGCTGTATAAATGCATTTTGCTGTGCACCTGTGAGGTGAAGAGACTCACGACAATTACACAGTACTTCAGCATGACGTCGAAGCTTCGGCAGCTTGGCTCCAAACCTTGACTTTAGCAGTGATTTAGAAAAGCAGATTAGGCTCTCAGAGATTCTTTTTTAAAATCTATACTAATTCTCCATCTTCATTTTTATCCTCTCATTCTCTCTCATATGTAACTTCTCAATGAGACCTTCTGTGCAGGTGGAAGACTTCTCCCAAAGCTGATGGAAACGAGTTTTGTTCTGTGCATCTGCTTGGCATGGCAATTGTAATGGTGATATTGTAACTCCCTCTTGCCCTGCTGGGTCTTATTCCTGGACACTGAATTCAAGCCGCAAATTCACAGCTTCTCTGCTTGTTAGGACTCAAATCATTACCATCTGTTTTATGGGACTCTAAACCACATTTCATACCACATTTACTTAATAAGCAATTGCTGTTACTGCATTTATCACCAATCTCCTTGTAGAGAAGAAAGCATTTTACCACTAGTTCATTCTCCAGGAAATACTGACAAATACAGCAGTCAGCCTGTGTCTGAAGGAAAACCCAAGATGCAGGTATTTTCTGCAGAACACAGGTTCTGAAGTATTTCTTTTGGAAGATCAAAATGGTCTAAACAAAAGGTTTAATTTAGTAACATTAAAAAGTCAATGGAAATCTTAATTACTTACAATTTAAAATATGCAATTTTCCAGAACATGAAAAATAGCATCAGATGGTTTTTTTCAAATATCTTGTAAACAGAAAAATTATACTTAAGTTTGAAGTGATCTGAATCAATATGGCTGTGTTCCTCATGCTCTTAGACAATGCAGCATTTTGCAGTGAAGTGACTTTTTGAAACAAGCTCAGGGAAGAGACCTTTAGTGAAAGACGTGTCTTTTATTCTGTTCTGAAAATAAAATTCTACGTCTTTGGCAACTGTGCTTTGAAGAGATTTTTCTTCTGATGAAGATGACATGACCACTTGAACTGTAGGAGAGGATTAATTGTGCAGAAATCTTCCTTCCACATCAGTCTGCTAAGCCCCTTGAAGAAAGGAAGATAGAGTACACATTCCATTCCCTCCACTTGTTTCAGTTATGAAGGCTTCATGAAAAGAAAACAGGAGAAGGAAATTAACAGCAATGTGCTTCCATTGGAAAAGTGCAAAAATGAAAGAGCAGTCTTCCAAATTCCATTCAGACCAAGCACTACATAACCCTGATGCGTTCATATCTCAATTTTGAGTAGGTTCTTGAAGATCAGCTCTCAGAGTCAAAAGACTTGGGAAATTTGGTCCCATCTCTTAGGAGGTTTGGCTTACCTCCTCTTAAAACGAAAGATTCTTAGTTTCCATGCTTGTTCAACCTTAGTTTCACAATAGCTGGTAACACAAAGTGGCTGCTGTTTTCAGTACAGCTGAAAAGGTCAAATACTGGGTGTTGCTCTTTTGGAAATATCATCCCCTCAATTCACTGACAATTCATGCAAAATCATTTTGATTTTATTTCACAGGCTCTGAGGCCAGGAGGAAACACCACGGTCATCTGAACAACAACCTTCAAACTCAAATATCTGCAAAGTAGCTTTATGAATGTTTTGCTCATGCAAATACCTTCCTGTTCTGTGTTCTTCTAAAGCAAATAAAAAGGTCTGGGTAATAGGTTAGGCTGAATTTGTAATTTTTTCCTTCCCCTGAAGTTCTGTAAGTCTACATGACCTAATTCTCCTGAGAGCAGATGTTTTGGGACATTGCAGTTAGATTATTCATCACGTCAGTTCAGCAAAACACGTTAATATAAAAGCGTGTACTTGAGCATATTCTAATAAGTAAATTGTACTCAAATTTCAGCATGTGCTTTACTGACTTGAGGCTACGGTGTGTTGTGCTGCAGATGTGGGACATGTGGCAAAAAGGTTTTGAAATCACACCCAGGTAGGTATAATAAACAGCATAAGTTGGAGGACCAAGCTAAATGGTCTCCATGTTTGAAAGCTTGTCATAAACACCAACAGTAACCCAAAGATATGTTTAAACTCTAAGCCTTTTAGTTCAACATATTTTGATCAGAAAATCATTGTGCCTGCATAATCTCCCGGGGAAAATTAGAGGAATTAGAATATATATTTAAAATAAAAGCCCCAAACTACCCTTATATGCTGAACAAATACTCATATACCACCAGTTCAAACCATACATCAAAGCTCACTAAGGATAAGAGACCCAGAGTTTTGGGAGAAGACATGGGAGAATAATCACCTTGTCAGAATGTTATAAATGCGATAAATATTATTTGCAAGTACTTGATTATGTACAGTGCTACAAGACAACTCAAAGCTCTGCACTTCTTTACAGGAACATAAACTGGAGTGGTAACTGTATGTCAGTGTAAAATTGTTTATTTTCATGAATGGAAAATAAATAAATTCAGAACCACTTAGATTTCATATGTTCAAAAAGCAGTTGGTTTGCTGAATACAGATGAACCCTTGTACTTCTTCCTATTTTTCTTGTGTCCTCTTTCATTTTTAATAAGTCTTTTGTTAGTCAGATGCAATAAAAAGCTTCAGATCAAACCTCTTGAGGTAAAATCCAAAACTCTGGAGAAAAGTAAGAAAGATGAATTTGTTGAGCTTCTAAAAACATAACCACTTTGCCAAGAGCCTCCAGCTGGCAGGATAGAAAAAAATGTTTCTCCCGATTGCAAATTGCCAATTCTAAAACAGCAGAGCAGCAGCTTTCCACCCTGATTACCTACAGCTGGCCTGCCTTTCTCCTCCCTTCTGCCAGGCAAAACAGCACCTTCCTCTTGCCATCCCCTCCAACTACCTTCTCCAAACCGGGTTACAAAACACGGCTGATAATTAGTTGTGTATTCAAGATGAGATGAGCCCACACCGTAGCTGTCATGGGCTCACGAACAGGAGTGAGGCGAGGTCTGCGTCATGCTCTGGACCAGCTGGTATGGCTGTGGGAAGGAAACAGGTAGGCTTGCTGCTCATAAGCCCTTCTGTAGGTCTGAAAAAATACAAGTGCCGATCTTGAGACTAATTGCTCTCAGTTTAACTTCATTATGTTAATCAATTGGGTAGCTCGAGAGAAAGATTGACTGACGGCTCTAGGCCTGAGGGAGACTTCTTGGCCAAAGAAGGCAAGAACTTTAAATCCCAAGGGGTTGGGAGAGTTGTACAGAGGAAACTGAGGGGTGGGTCATGTTTTCATGGGATTTGGGTGGCCTGGATGTTGCTCAAGATGAAACACAAATTAAAAAAAAAAAAAAGAGAAATAAAGCTGCTTTGTACATATTCTAAAAGCACAATGAGACTGCTGCGGCAAGATGTGGGTGATGTAGTGTGCAAGTGCTCTTGGTAATGATGAAAGTAAGCACGTGGCTAAACAAGAGATGCGGTGAGGTGCTGGGGGAGGCCATGGGGCGGGCAGGTCCCTGCTGGGGGTGAGTGCCTACTCGGGGGGCTGCGGGGGCTCGGGCTCCCTGCTCTGCTTTGCTCCTGGATCTGTCTGCATCTCTCCACAGCCTGGCAGAGCTTCAGCGCTGGCTGAGAAAGAGGAGACTGCCTGCCCAGAGCAGCTAATCCCTTGCTGGTTGGGATACACTGCTGGAAAGAGGGAGATGAATGGGGAGGATATCTTTATTTTCAATATCTTTATTGATGATCTAGACAAGGGGATTGAATGCACCCTCAGTAAGTTTGCAGATGACAACAAACTATGTGGGAGTGTTGATCTGCTTGAGGGTCGGAAGGCTATACAGAGGGATCTGGACAGGTTGGATCTTTAATAAGGCCAAGTGCTGGGTCCTGCATTTTGGTCACAACAACCCCGGGCAATGCTACAGGCTTGGGGAAGAGTGGCTGGAAAGCTGCCCAGCAGAAAGGGACCTGGGAGTGTTAGTGGACAGCCAGCTTAACATGAGCCAGCAGTGTGCCCAGATGGCCAAGAGGGCCAATGGCATCCTGGCCCGTATCAGGAATAGCGTGGCCAGCAGGAGTAGGGAAGTCATTGTGCCTCTGTACTCGGCACTGGTGAGGCCTCACCTCGAGTACTGTGTTCAGTTCTGGGCCCCTCACTACAGGAAAGACATTTTGCTGCTGGAGCGTGTCCAGAGGAGAGCCACCAAGCTGGTGAGGGGTCTGGAGAACAAGTCCTATGAGGAGAGGCTGAGGGAACTGGGCATATTTAGTTTGGAGAAGAGGAGGCTGAGGGGAGACCTCATTGCCCTCTACAACTACCTGAAAGGAGACTGTAGAGAGGTGGGTGTTGGCAAAGCACCAAGATACAGAAGGTCCCAGACGTGAACAGCAGCAGGTTTCTGTGCACCTGAGGGTACCACAGATGAGACAGGGAGGCTTCCAGTGTTTGTAAGGTTAGGCAAGTCCTGAGCAAGAGCGTGTTTGGTGGGATATTTGGACATTACAGTGTTCATCCCTGTTCCATTTCAGATGTTTTGTTTGTTTGCTTTGTTTTCAAATCTGAACCTTGCTAATTCATATTGATTAGGGAGAAGACTGGGCAATGCCTTGCTGGAGCAGAGTACAGGAGCAGCCAGGTCTGAGATACTTTGCTCGCTGCTGGGAAAACAGCACAGGGCAATAGAGGGCCAAAAGGCACCTGCCTGCCCAGGGCAACAGAAATCCTCCTTATTCAGAGCGTGGAAAGGACATCCAGGAGCAAACTGAGCTCCTCAAAAGGGACAGAAACATCCCTGGCAGTAAGATGAAGCTAATAGAAAAGCCAAACTGTTGCAGACGATGGATGCTGTGCCCTTTACGTGTCTATTCTCCTCCCCTCTTTCCTCCAACAGGCAGCTGTAATTACAAACAGCACCTGTGTTAGGTGACATCCAGATGTTAAGTGCCTAAATACATTCCAGGCCCAGTGGGTAAAGGAGTGTCACTTTAAAGCAGCCCAGTGTCTGTTTCTCTCTAGAGAGACTCTAGCTCTAAACACCGTGGGGAAAAGGACTGTTTAAACAGAAACACAGTGGTGGCGGCACAAAGAGGAATAATTCAGTGGCAAATGAATTAGGCTGAACAGCAGTAAAAATTTTCGTGTCCTCTGGGGTTACAGCTCAGGCCTAGTTTTAACAGGATTAGGGGGCATTAAAGAAATCGAAATATTTTTAAAACTTGAGTCCCATTAGAGCAGGGACAGGTATAGACCCAGGAGCGGACCTGAGCCCGGTGATCCAAGTGGCTTCTTGCAAACCTAAATTCCTTGACACATTTAATATCACGCATTTCTAGAGAGTGCAGTTTGCCTTCTGGCGAATGCTAGTTACGTATGAAGACTGTTGAAGGGTTTTTAGGAATGACAGCTCTAGGCAAGCCTTCCACCAGCAAAAACTTCTTGCACTGGCTAGAATTGCAAAAGGAAGGTGAAATTAATCAAGAGTCCTATAATAAGTGTAATTCAGGGAGCAATTAAGATACTCTAGCTTTAAACCACAGTAGAGGCTTGTGCTGTAGCTCAGTGTCTAAGTACAATGAGGGAAGAGAGGTATCCCCTACTGCCACTTTGGAGATCTCTCTTTCCAGGGGAACTTGATCTCTGGCACGCTAAAAGGCTGCTCTCAAACAGACCATCAAGTCCCTCTCTGTTTGTGGTGTTTTCTTGTTCCCCATACCTGTATGCAGCCTGTACACCATAAGCATCTGGATGAACCTTCCTCACAATGTTCCCAGCAGCACTGGCATCTCTTTGTTAAAGAGAAAAAAAAAAAAAAAAAAAAAAAAAAAAAAAGGAAAAAGACATGGAAGAAGTTTTTCTGAGGAGATTAGTAACTTTCTCAGTCACATATGGTCAAGCCCTGTTTGCTTCCAGCCGTATTTCATAACTCTCTGGGGCTTTTTTTGGTGGTAGCTTGTCAAAAAAGCCACACGTTACTCTGATTTATCTGAGAGCCGTTTGCAGCATCTCTAACACTCCTGAAATTCATATTAGCTAGAATCATTAATTCTAGCAACCAGACTTCAACTTGCATTTTTCCTTTTCATTCTTTTTTCTGTTTTAAAAAAAAAAAAAAAAAAAAAAAAAAAAAAAGAAAGGGAAAAAAAGGGGAAGTGAAGGGAGTTGGGCAAGAAACATAACATTTAGCAGCTCTTGAGTTCACATTCTGGTTTTGAGTGTTTTGGATCTATGTCCCACACAACACGGGCTTTGACATTTTTGGCTGATCACATTGCAGGTGGTTCCTTTGGTGCCACCTGCTCCCCAGCAGCTCTATGTGATGTGGCGCAGGTCTGGTGCTCTCTCTTCCAACAACTGGGGAAACCTTCCGCTGTTAAACTTCTTCAGCTTTTCTACTGACTTCCATCAAGCAGTTCTGAGAATTTATTTTTTTTTTGGCTAATTTTATATAAAAATGCATCTTCCTCTCCCGTACTTATGTAATAGATTATTTTCTTGACATTCTGTCCTGAGAAATGACTGATGAGGTGCTGATAGCAGTGAGCAAGTTGTGCTGCCAGCGGGGAGTCTGGGAAACTCAGGCTGGCAGGGAGCTCCTGGTGTCCCTGCTCACCTTCAGCAGGTTTGTGTACAAGGACGAGGGTAGTGAGTGATGAGCTGCTGCTTGTCAGCACAGGTCATATGAGTTCAGTCAAGAGGATGTTTTTTTGGAGATAGCCTTTGCCTTTCTAGCTTTTGCTGTGAGTGGGGCAAAATAGATGGCATTTGGGAGAGGGAAAAAATGATGGCACAGCTTTTTTTACATAAAGGCTTCACTTCTGTACCTGACTTTCATATGAACCCAGGAAGACTAGGAGATGTTCTTACTGCATCCATTCTAATGCAGGAAGTGTAGTATGGGGTACAGAGACTCTGCTCTCCTACAGTGTCCCAGTATTGCTGCAGGGCCAGAGATTAAG